TACTGCTTCACTTTTAGGAAAAAAAGAAGCAAATGAAACCAAGACACGCTCATAAAGGAGATCTAATCATCAGATGTGTATGGACGAAAATACAGGTACAAATGAATCTCTTATAGCCTTTCGGGTCTGTACCTAAATCATTGCGTAATGATTACTAGTATTCAGAATGTCACAGTAGAATCTAGAATCAGCAAAAGACTGAGCAATCAAACCTTTCAATGAGAGTTAAACACTTTTTTTTAATATGTCCAGGTGTCTCACAGTATTCTAGGTTTGGGGAGTAGAAATGTGAAAAAAAAATTTTTCTCTGCCAGTGAAACATTTCCAGAGAATTACCCACTCTGCTTATCCATCTATTGTCATGCTATGGCCCCTGTCAATACTGGAAACTACTCCGTCAATCAAATAGTGCAAACATCTAGCATCTCATTTGCAATCTTCCTTTCTTTCAACGTGCCCTAAGTACCCCACTACAGCTGTTCTTTCATTAGGTGCTCGTAGTCGACTTCCCCTTCCGTCTCCCCATCCATTCATGAATCCATTCACCCGTCCATTCATCAATCACCCTTTTCTACCTTCCATTTCCTTCATATTACTTACAAATTCTAAGATTCACCACTGTAATTATTCTCTTGCAAATTGTCTGGCACATCCCAACCTTGGACGAACCTACTTTCTCCATGTCTACACCCAGGCTTCTGAGAACAACTGGAGAAAAACACAATGGAGTAGATTCATCCCACTACAAATTAATGGTCAGTGACCTCAACTAGGCCCTTAAAACTGCGTGGTAGCCTGGTCTCCAAATTTCTGCAATCTCTCTTAAATCTGTCCTATTCTTCTCAAATCTCCAACTCTCTCATTCTCAGCTGGTAACTTTGCCTCCCGTTTCACCAGGAAAATGCAAGCTGTTAGATGGGAACTTCACACAGCCAACTGTCTTCCCTCTTCTAACAAAGGCCAACCATTTCGCATGTGCTCTGCAGTCTGTCTCAGGTTTTCTTCAGTAATGTTATTTCCTCTCTTTCCAATTTTATTTCGGTTTCTCCCTCTCTACTAGACCGTTCCCATCAGCACTCATGCATGCTCTCGTTTGTCTTATTATCACACACAGATCAACAAACCAACCAATCGTCTAACTCCTCACCCCCCACCCTCTGCAAGCCACATACTTCTCTACCTATCACTACTCTCCTCCTTCTATAGTCAAACTTTTGGGCTGAGTTTCCTGTATAGTTTCTCTCTCTAAATCTTTAGCTGCTATTCCTGCACAAAGCCTCAAATCTACCTTCTGTTTCAACTACTCCATGGGAACAACTCTTGCTAAAGTCACCAATTATTTCCATATCATGTAATCAAATGTACTCTTATAGTCCTCATATCACACCACCTCTCAGAATCATTCTACAAAGTTGACCACTTTTGAAACATTCCTTTCCTTTTATTCCCATGACATCACCTGCTCCTAGTTTCTCTCCTACTTCTCTCTCCTCCTTCTCTTTTCTTTATCCTTTGCCAGTTACTTCCTTAATCTGTGAATATGGGACTTCTCCAATGCTCATAGTCTCTTCTAATTCTGCCACTGAGGAAACCCTACTCACCCTGATGGATTTAATTTCCACCTATACTCCAAAAACTTTAAATTCCATCTCCAGCCAGACTTCTCTGAACTGTCCAGGTGACATCTCCACCTAGATGCCTTCAAATACCTTGACTTAAATGCATCTAAAACTGAACTCATGCTTTTGTCTTTTCCCCTAAACCTTGTTTTTCTCTAGTAGATACTGCCTCCACTCACCTAGTTGCTCAAATGATATACCTTGGATTCACCCTTGACCCCTCCTGTTTGCCACTCCTTATGTGCAATCAATCACCAAGTCTTGTTGACTCTTCTGTTGGAACAGTTTGTCACCACCATCATTAATCACATGGCCTCCTGGAATAGCCTTCTAATAGATCTCCTTGCTTTCATGAGCTTCTTCCATCCATTTTCTCAAAGTTATAGAAGTGAGCTTATGAAAGTGCACATATGATTACGACACATTCCTACTTACTATCCTTCAGTGGCTTCCGCTCCCTTTTAGTATTGTGTGAGCTACTGAGCACGTCAGGTCATAACTCAGTCTCTGATTTCCTCTCCAGCCCATCCTGATCCACTTTCCTTCTTACATACAATGTTGGAGCTGTACTTGCCTTGTCCTCGGTCCTCAAAGGCACCCCCCACACACTCAGAGCTCTCTGTCTCAAACATTCTAGGCCTACTCCTCTCTCTGCTGCCATAACATTGACTCACTCTTCAGCGCCTTTCCTCCAAGAAGCCTTCCCTGACCTTTCATCCTGGTTTAGGTCCTTAGTCTATATGAACTCATTGCCCACTAGACTTTTC